CGGATCATAATTTTTTTTTGATGGATTTGGGTTGTTTTTAAAGGTCTAAGGATAAATAATTAGAGTTTTATTAATAAAGGCAACAGGTCAAAAATTGGGATTGGAACTCTCTCTTGATTATTTCTTAACTTTTTTAGCTTGTTTTCTAATTGGGTAGCAAATTGAGTGACTGTTGTTTGAGGACAAGGATTTGCATAAAAGCTTAACTGTTGCATAGGTTGGCAAAGATAAGGATTTTGAGAAAAGTTGTTTATAGAAGGATAATAAAGCGGGTACATCTAATAAGGCGGACATTAGGTGAAGCGTTCAACCTGTTGCCCCTCATAAATCACAACTTGAACATCTCATTCATTCTTCTTCGACACATCATCTCTCTTTGCATCATTTGTACAACTTTTTTTAAGTTTGTCATTCTTGATTACATTTTTTATCATCTCCCCAAAAATCACCATATCAGCAAAATTTTTAATGGCATTTTTAATCATCTTTTTATAATATGAGGCTTTGAGAGTATTGACAAACATAACCATGGTCTCTTTGTTAATGAAAGGTGGTTGAATTTGGGCACCAACGTCCCTCCACCTTTGAGCATATTTCTTAAAGCTTTTAGTGTCTTTCTTTTCCATGCTTTGTAAAGATAAATGATCTTGAGCAAAATTTATGTTGTACTTATATTATGTGATGAATGCCTTAACTAGTTCCTTCCAACCACAGATACGTGACCTATCCAATTAGACATATCACTTTAAAGTAGATCCAATAAGGTTATCTTAAAAAATATGGATGAGTAACTTTTCATCACGTACATGTGCGACCATCTTGCGGTAGTACATAGTGACATGCATTATGGGACATTTGGTTCTATCATTCTTTTCAAATTTAAAGACTTTAAATTTAGGTGGAATGACTACATCAGGAACCAAGCATAATTAAATAGCATCTATTGAACCAAAAAAATCTATCTCCTTAATAACTCAAAGCCTTTATTTAATAAAATCCATTTTTTGTTAAGAGTCAAAGCCTTTCTTGGTTTCTACTATGTTTATCTTCACTTTCTCTTATTCTCTTGGATCATCCAGATTAGGAACTTCAGTTGGATTAAGAATAAAAGCTAAACGAGTAGGAGTAGCAGTTATAGGCATGTCAGTATGCATGTAGGGGTAGCTTACTGTAAATGGCATTTGATATTGAGCCCCTTGATATGTTTATTTGGAATAAATGTTAAAGCCAGATAGGTATATTGGATCATCAATCTGTTCAGCCACTGTTTTCTCTTTGTTTAAATTCTTCAACAATTCAGTCATATCTTTTAATTATCTTTTCATCTCTTATTATGCCCTTTTTATACTTTAGAAGCAAAGAGTTTATTCTTCTGCCATAATTCTGGCTTGATACAAAGATTAAGCTATGCTCGAATCTTTTTACCACAATTAGGATGATATGTTACTAGTGCTAAAAACCATCGTAACTTGTTAGAAACATTCTTCTATATACATAAATGAATAAATGAATGCACATATTGAATGTGACACACAACAATTTAGTAGTGCATGAACGAATAAATAAATGCATTCACATAACAATTTTAATGATGCATGGATTGACAAATGACTGCATGAATGGATGTATGAGTTAATGTTTGCCCTATAATGATGCATGAATGATGAATTCATGCATTAGATGCTAGATACATAAAAATTAAATGATGCATAGATGAATAAATGTATGAATGCCGCATAACAACACATAAAACTTAAACTTTTTTGACTTTATCACAAAACTCATACAAATGACACTACCAAAATTCCTTCATGTGTTCTAACTTGGGCTACATTTTAACAATGAGTGAACATGGCTCTAACCTAGTATTAGCTTCTTAGAGTTAACTACATGTGATTTAAGTTAAATCTAAAGGTTTCCAAATGGTTTCTTACATTATTGTTCATTGTAGACTAGTAATATACCGTAATCCTCACCTATCATAAGCTATAAACAGAAATGGTTCAATTTGAGTGAGAGTATTTCGCTAGTCTAGGTAGAGACATGAAATCTCACAACAGTATAAGTACTTAACTCTTTTCTAAGAGACAAAGCTCGAGTGTAAAGCTCATATTATGTAGATACAAGTGAATAATAGAATATGGTATAATTATAAATAGACAAAACATTCAAAGAAAATTCCTTAATTTTAGACAAAACATCAAAGAAAAATTCTTAATTGTAGACAATTTTAACTTAGGTTTTAGATAACACGAGTTTATTGACCTAACTTTCAACTATCCCCAACTGAATCACCAAATTGCCATAACTTATAAATTCGTAGACCTATAACTAGACCTAACTTTAAGGAGTCACCACCAATCTTTATTTTTAAATGTGATTGGTCATTTAACTGAATTTGTCCATTTTTAAAGAGAAATCTCAAGCTTAACTTAGGTATCTTTAAAAAGTAAATTTTATGTTTATGAAACCAAGACTAGATCTGGGAGTATGGTTATGTGTGAAGAAGGTTATAGCACCCTCATAACACCCATCAAATGAGGGTACCAGATTAATTTCAAGTTATCCAAGCCTTAAAATATTTTTGAATTTTGACCAAATAAATTTAATTATTAAAAATTGATCTTAAAATTAATTACTCAAATCATTTGGTAGTGACTTAAGATAATTTTCTTACCTCAAGAGTATTTATAGAAACTCGTATCCCACTCTAAAGATGCTTTATTGTCAGATTCATTAATATATTTTCTAAGAAATTATTTTTTGAAAGCAAATAATAAAATCTTCCAATCATTTTGGCAAGATTTATATCAATGTATATCCCCCAATCGTTTGGTAGGATTTTTATTTGTAAACCTTAAAAAAAAATTTTTGAAAAAAAACGTCATTAAATCTTCTAATAGTTTAGTAAGATTTAATGAAAGATTTAATGAAAATTTGAATTCTCCAATCATTTGATAGGATTGAAAAATTATTTTTTGAAAATTCATTATGAAATTCTTTAATCGTTTGATAGAATTCATAATTCAAGATTTAAATCCTCCAATCATTTGGCAGGAATCATGAATTTATCATAAAAATTTATTTTAAATATGTATAAAAGAAGAAAGAAAAACAACTAAGTAACATAAATAGATATACAAATAGAGAAGAAAAAAAATTACCTTATCTTATTTTTTGTTTCTCTAAAATTCTTAAAAATTTTACCGTCAAAACTTTTTGTTGAATGCCTCCTTTTTGTGTTTTTTCTCAACTTCTTTTTCTAACACAAAGCTCCCAAAAGAAAATTCTAACTATCTAAACCCAAAACACTAGAAAAGATTATAAAAAAAACTTTTAATTTTTTTTAACTCCTTCTCTCTTGATTTTTTTTTATTGATTCTTCATTGTATCTAGTTGATCCTAAGAGGTCTTTTGTAGGTCTTTAATCCAAATCACAATAGGAGAATGTTTTCTTGGTTCCAATCTCCTAACCAAAGTCAATTTTAGATTTTTAATCTAAATTCACCTCTCAAATCAAGACATTCCCTTTTTTAATTAGAATACTAGACTTCAAATCGAATCAAATTTTTTTTTTAAAAAAATCAGAAATCAATTAATTAACAAAATAAATAATCCTAAACTAAATAAAATACTAAAATCTTAAAATTAAATTAAAAAAATACTTCAGACTAAATGGGGTGTCTACACATTATATTAAAAAAATTAAACCAAATCATTGAAGATCAGATCCCAAAGAAATCTGAGTAGTGATTCTTTAAGAATTTTTGGTAAAAAAATTTATCTAAAATATTACAAATGTATTGGAGCATTTAGAATAATTTTCGATAATGATTTCTCATTTTAATATAAGAAATGAATTTCTAGAAAGCATCATTTGAATTTAAATTATAGATAACATATTTTACAATATGCATGGTAAATATAAATATTGAAAATAAATACGAATTGTCGAGGATGAAATATTTGTGAAGTTTGAATAGTGATTCTTAAGAGTTCCCTAGGTGAAAAATTTCCTCTTGATATTGTCAAAATATTAAGATATTTTAAGGATTTTTCAATATGTAATGTTCTTATTTATTATTATTTTTTAAGCAAACAATTAAAAATAATAAAAATAATTTTTTTTAAAAATAAAAAAATTAATTTTAAATATCAAAATTAAGACATTTTTGTCATAATTAAAAGATAACATATAATTAATTAGTACTTTTTTTTTCTTTATGAGTGTTGTGAGGATGCTAATTCTTCCTCACTTATAATCAACTTTTGAATCTAAATTGTTTTCGTAAACTTAAAAATTATCTTTTTAATAAATTTTAATTATTTTTAAAGTTTCATTAAAATGTTAAATTTTAATAGGTGATCAATCACATCTAATAAAAAAAATTGATGACGACTTTTATTTTATTTTTGCTTTCAAATTCAACTAACGATCTCAAAATAGTTACAACATGATACATATAACCCATCAAAATAAACTATAAAAAATATAAAAAAAACAAAAATAATCAAAATACATGTAGATTCTTCACCATTTAAACTTTATCACCATCCAAATCTGTTATTTGATCCTTCAAAATACGAATGTTTTTTTATTTTGAATTGGAAATTTTTATAAAGCAATTTTTATTGAAATTGAGGATTTCAATTAGGGATTTATTTTGTTTGAAATTGGATATTTCATTAAGGTTTCTTTTAGGATTTTCTTTTGTTTTTTATTTATCGAATGTTCCAAGAGGTTAGTTTTAATTTCCGGGAAGTCTTTTTTAGATGTTACAAGAAAAATATAATAATAAAAGAAAGAAAAAAATGGCTGTAAATAAAAAATAAAGTAAGGTAGAAAAAATTCTCTAGCAGTAAAATTTTTATTCAAGCAAACTAGTAATATAGATGCCTAGTGCCCATGTGGAATTTTCATGTGGTATTTAATATTTTTAATTAACTTTTTCCATAACTCAAATTGGCGGCAACTCGAAACAATAACCATCTCCAAAAAGTCAAAAATTCTTTATTTTTTCCCCATTCCCGCCATTTGAAATTATCTCTTCTTCACCATTTCTTACAACCTTATACCAACCCCACCACCACTACCGAACCGAACCAAACCAAACCAAACACAAAAGAAATGGAAGTTAAACGCCGAACCGCTCGAACCCTTGTTGCCAAACTAAGCTCAGTTTCCGAACAAACCCGAACTGAAGCTTTGTCCGAATTAAGGCTAATTTCCAAACACGACCCCGAAAGCCGACAGTTAATAGCCGAAGCCGGAGCCGTCCCTTACCTTTCCGAAACGCTTTACTCTTCTTCTCCGACTATACAAGAAAATGCTGCCGCTACTTTGTTGAATCTCTCCATTACTTCACGCTGTTCTCTCATGTCCACGCGCGGCCTCCTCGACGCGTTATCTCACGCGTTGAGTAATTCATCTTCACCTGCCGTGGTTCAGTCCTGCGCCGCCACGCTTCACAGCCTACTCATAGCTGACGAGTTTTACCGTCCGATAATTGGGTCGAAACGTGATATTCTTTACTCGCTGTTGTCGATTATCACCGCGGCCAACGCGCCACCGCGGTCGATAAAGGATGCGTTGAAGGCGTTGTTCGGGATCGCGCTTTACCAGTTGAATCGGGCGAGTTTGGTGGATCTCGGGGCGGTTCCTGCCTTGGTGTTGTTGATAGTGAGGGATGCGAGGACGGGGATCGTGGAGGATGCCACGGCGGTGCTGGCGCAGATTGCTGGGTGCGAAGAGAGTGAAGAAGCGATGAGGAAGGCGGGTGGATTTGGGGCTTTGGGTGATTTGTTGGATGAAGGGACTGGAGCTAGTGGAAGAATAAGGGAAAACGCGGTGGCGGCTCTGTTGAATTTGGCTCGGTGCAGCAGCGAGAAGGGAAGGCAAGAAGTGAGAGAAATGGGGGTTAAAGTTATGGAAGGTATTGCAGATCTGGCGGAGAATGGAAGTGCTAAAGGGAAGAGTAAGGCGGTTGAGTTGTTGAAATTTGTTGTTGATGGAAATGAGGTGAGGGACTTTAGATTTAATAATTTCAATGATTTGATGAATCATTCTATATGATGTGTTTTAGGTTTTTTATTTTTTGTTGTAGATTCAGGAGATTAGTTGTTGCCATATATGTTTGATGCATTGATAATGTAAACGATACACACATGTAGAAAAAAAAGTGAAAAAGGAAAAATATTAGTTTGTGATTCATAGTCTTTTTTTGTTTTCTCTCTTTGTTCAGGGTTATGTTATGTGCATGTGTCACAGATTTAAGGAAGAGTTTTGAATTTCACATCGAATATAATAGGAGGGTCATTGGGGTATAAAAGGGTTTACACCACCTCCGTCTTATGAGACGTTTTTTGTAGGATAAAATCGTAAGGTCAGGGGAGTCAGAGCGGACAATACCTCACAAGAGTGTGAATCGTGACGGTCAGGTTGATCCGGGATGTCGAAAGGGTGAATGCCCGGGTCCCGAAGTCGCGCGGGTTCGGAGCTTAAGTCTCGACCCGTGACAAGTGGTATCATAGTCAACTCTAAACCGTTTTATCCACGTCTAAGTATTTCGAGGAAGGTAGGTAGGGTGGCTAGCTTTCGTGACGAGAGCGTCACGAGGTTGGGTGCGGGAGAATGTCACGGACTTAAAGAAGAGTTTCGAATCTCACATCGAATATAATAGGAAGGTTATTGGGGTATAAAAAGGTTCACATCACCTCCGCCTTGTGAGACGTTTTTTGCAGAACAAAACCGTAAGGTCAGGGGGGGCCAGAGCGGACAATACTTTACAAAGGTGTGAATCGTGACGGTCAGGTTGATCCGAGACGCCGGAAGGATGAATGTCCAAATCCCGAAACCACGCGGGTTCGGAACTTAAGTCTCGACCCGTGACACAGGGCCATACTTGTGCAAATTGTTTATGCATATGTAAGTTCCTAAATAAGCTCAAATTGAGCAAATATCATAACTTTCAGGAAGTGCATTTTACTTAAAAGCATATGCATAGGAACATCCCTACGTGCAATCTGCAAATAAGCGAACCTGTGAATAGTTTTACTGCTCAGAAATTCGGTAATTCGGTATACCCATGGTTGATGGCCCTTGCTGCATGATTTTTCATTAGGGGCTCGTGCTGCAGAAATAAATATTCTTTTGATGGAATACCGGCGAAGGATAATACTGTAACTTAGGAGTAACTTGTGGATGTTAGGTAGAAACCCGGCCACTGGTCGGTAGGTTAGAACTTGTTTTTACATTGTTTTCTGCTTTAGACAGATTATCAACCATCCGAAGTCATGACGCAGCAGCCATTTCCATTGTGAATCATGAAAGTTCAATATCTGTGTTCTGCAGAAAGTTTGGAATCTCACTCTGTCGAATTTCGTTTTTTTCTAAAATGATATTCATTCTAGTGTCAAGAATTTCAATCATGCTCAGACGACCACAGTAATCTATAGGATATAGCAGATGCCAGCATTGGTTGAAAGTGCACTTGACTTTGGTGTATATCATGTCATGCTATTGCTAACCTCAGCCTGCTTTTTCTAAGAAAAGCCTTCCCGAATGGTACTTCTTTGTCTTCATGTTTCCAAGTACCGTAGTTATAAAATTTACTAATTGGCGAAGCATCTCCCTCTTTACCAAAACCATAACACAAGCAGATGAGTTAGTGACAGTGAAAGCAAACTCGAAATCAAATGGCTGAACCTATTTTTGTTGTAGCTAAACCATTATAAGTATCTCCCTTTTTTACCTCTTTTTCCAGAGATGCATACTTTATGATAGTGAAAGCAGGTGAGTTAGTGGACCATTACAAGCATCTCGCATTACACGTCTGAGAAACTGCTAAGAGATATTGGTGAAGTTTGATGCAATGGCTAATTTTTTCTTCAAATAGTATGGACAAAGACGAAAATTTCTGTTACCAGATTTGCTAGTTCTTCGTTTCAGGGACAAGAAACTGAGAATTGCTTTCTTTCGTAGGAAGGAATCTAATAAAATCAAACTCATAAAATGATACAATACATCGCCATCCAATGGAAGCTATAATAGCTCAGTAAAAGTTGATAATTTAAATCTGGTTTAAAGACTCAGTCAAGAATCTGTTGAATGAGAACCAAGTAAAGCAAGTTGGTCGTCTGCCTGAGCTCCCAGACATACTGGCAACATCAACATTAGTTTGTGAATTGTTTTCGAAGTTCAATTGACAAGAAAGGGGACGCAATATTAAAAAGAAAGTGGAAACCAACCTTTACCTTTCTTCTAAAGCTTTGCCTTTTTATTTTAAAATTGACCTACTTCTATGGACAGAAACAATTCAAATATGAACAAATTTTACTATGTTTGTAATTCATTCGTTTAATTAATAAATATTGAAATTTTGTTCGTAATTATTTGTTGAGTTTAATAAACAAAAAAAAAAAGAATCTATTTATGAATTGTTCATCGAACGTTTTATCCATTTATATAAATGAGCTAAATAAAAATGAATTTTACTATATTCATGCTATTTATATAAATGAACTAAATACAAATGAATTTACTCTATTCATGACTTGTTTGTTTAATTAACAAATAATAAAATATTATTTATAATCATTTATTAAGTTTAATAAACGAATAAAAATCAAACATTTTCAAAACTTTTTTGTCAAACATTCTCTTCATTGACACCCCTACGTCTCCACCCCAAGCCAAAAAAAGAAAAAATTAGGGAAGCCCTGACTGAAGATGCCTTCTGGATGGCCATCCAGGGTTCTTGCCTGGAGTCCTTCACTAGGGATTTTAACCCCTGGAACTCCAGCCAAAAGAAGTTGGTAAACGAACCCTATTGACTTTGGAAAACAGGGCTACGAATCTAAATGTTTGAAGCTGGAACTGCGTGAGTAGGCACAATTTTATAACATTGGAACATTCCAAGACATTTCTCTGTAGTCTGTAATTATACTAGCACCTGCTGGGGATTTTGATTTACTCTTTTCCAAACAAGTAATTGAGACAGACCTCACACATTTGGACAAGGCCAGAGGGAGAGAAGTTGAATCTTGACATTGACCAAATATCTTATGCACTAGGAATGCAAATAGAAAATTCAAAATGAATTATTATTTACAAAACTTGATATTCCAGGTTAGCCTGAAATCGAATCTTACTGACAATTGACAACTCATTCTAAGGCAATGAAGTTGCTTATTGATCTGGACTGGCAACTTGCTCAAGAAAAAGGAAAAACAAGTATCTCATAACCATTGCATATTGGCAATTAGACCCCCATTTCCCAATATGGTTTAGTCTTGCAGGTATCGTTTCCACAGATTAGAGCTTATCAACCATTCCTTTGGTTGGAATTTGGAAAAATTCCATCTCAGAAGCGACTTGAGTAGACATAAGGCTCTGACTGACAGCATTGCAGATGCTTTTTTTTTTTGCACACCATGCCTAATTGCTCTTGTTCAGAAAAGTACTAATACCATTACATGCTTCATACATTGTTAGAGTCAATTTTTCCTGTGACCCAACTGTGCAAAAATATATCGGAACAGGCGATTGAAATGAAATTAATCATCAGCATCTTCAATTCCGTGGCAATAACATCTATTCTAATTTTGACTAGGCACCATCTCTGGTGGGATTTATTTGGCTGGATAGCACAAATGCACAATAGCTTGAAACAACACCTTCAGTAAAAGGTGCCTCGTAGGTATATGCTTAGCGTCACTGTACAAGCCAACATCTAATGAATGTATTATCCACTTCAAAAGAAGGCGTCTTATAGTTTGAAAGATGACGTGAACATTTAGATACTCAGTGCAATTGTAATACACAGTTGATATGAGATTCAGAATTATCTTTGAAACCACGACCTTGTGTTCAACGGGGAGATTTCTTCCTCACCGTCAATTCCTTATTTTTACATCCTTATTTTGACAGGATCAGAACTAGGCAATGACTTGCTTATCTTATGAAATGGCAATGATAATGACGATAATGAGAGGATTCAATAAAGTATTTGGTATTTAAATTTTGAAAAAATGTATAAATTACTATTAAAAAATTAGATATACAATTTATACTATAAACTTTCAAATAATATATTATTTTAATTTAAATTATATAATTATTAATTAACTTAACTCGCCTATGGTATCTAATAAGTGTAATTATGTTATATGAATATATTATTTGTTTAGTAAAAATGTTAAATATTTTATAAAACCCTTCATGTGAATATCATGTGACAAAAAAAAATTAACCGATCTTTGAAATTTTTTATAGTTCCAATAAAAATATATATTTAATTTATATTAAAAAATATTGATGGTATGTGTAGCGAGCACATAACTTGATAATATTTATCAAACGCTACATATATAAGTTGATATAATTAATGAGATTAAAGTTTGGATTAATATAATAAATAATTTAAAATTTTAAAGTGTAAATTATATATTATTTGAAAGTTTATAGTATAAATTATACATTTTTTTTTTAAGTATCAACTTATGCATTTTTTTTAAATTCAAGTAAAAAAAAATGTGACTAATTTTAATGAGAGCGATGGATGATAATGATACATGTAAATAAATCAATAATTCTCAAAATCATTTGTCAGAAGTTTCATCAAGAAATTGATCTTTTAGGTGGGCAATCCACATCTGTATTATTCCAAAGAAGTAGGTACATCACCAAAACTTTATTAAAAAGTTAGGGAAAACTAAAGGAGGAAAATAAGCAATGATAGAAGAAACTGGTTGATACATGACAAATCTAGGCTGCAGGTTACCTTTAATTTTCTTCTATATACCCCATTTTCAACCTTTCCAAATTACAAATGTTTATAAGTTGGCAAAACTCACTATCTGTTTGACCAGAAAATAAGCAAAGTTATTCCCAGACAGCTGGAGTTCAGATTTCAAATTTCTTAAGTTTTGTTCTCTAAGGTCTTACTTTGAGTTTGTTGCCACCAGCTTCAAGTTCAACCGCAATAACTTTTGATAGGCAAATCAAAGTCTGCATTGGTCATGAAAATGGAATTTCAGTACTGTTGATTCCTATATGTAGTGTTGCTAGCCAACCATGAAAAATAAAAATCTCTAAATCTGAGAATTGGAATTGAAAAAT